CGTAGCGCTTGTCCAGCCGAGCGTAATCGGACCGTAGAAGTTCGAGACATGTCCATCGGTCATGTGATGCGGGCGGGAGGGCACGAGGCACGAGCAGAAGGCAGTGCAACAGCGCCTATCAAAGGCCGCTTCTGCCCCAGAAGCTGCCGAGAGGCAGCGCGCGCGCGCGCGGCACACCGAACCTGGGGGGGCACGGTACAGTCGGACCTAGGCTGGACGCAGGCCAGAATAACTCGGCTACACGCAGGAGTGACCCTGGGCAAGAGTGCCCTTTGGTGCGCGGCTTGTTGGGGGCCGCGGGGGCGGCCAAACCCAGGCGTGCAAGCCGCTGCTACCGCTTCGCGTTCAGCGATCGGGGGAGCCCATTGGGCCCGCACCAAGAGGCACTCCGGCGAAAGGTCACTCTTACGTCTGGTCGAACAGCACCCCTCAAGAACGCGGGACCCTCGACCGGCCAAAACGCGCAGAGCGTCCACGGGTACCCTCCCCAGGGTGCACAAGAACATCCGACGAGCACGAAGAACACGAGGGCACCCTCCCCGAACCGACCTCGATCTTATGCCTCGGTCCCGGTGCGCCTCTACCGCTGCTCCCAGGATCTTTCCTGCGGGGGCTGTTCTGGCCAGGGTTGTGATGCGACCCTGGGCGTGGCGACGAGAGCAAGGAGGCTCACGTGAGCGAAGACACAGAGAGGGCATCGGCCTGGCGGGACGAGATACCGGCACCGCCGCTACCAGGACCTCAACTGAGGCTCGTTCTGCCCCGGATTATGGTACCATCCAGCCGTGTCGATTAAGATGCGTGCCTGGATCGCGTCAGGCACACAAAATTTGCCATTCAGTCTCGACGTCCGAATCTCCGCTGCTACGTCGCCGCCTCCAAGAGGTATTCCGTGACAAACGTACCCCGCCGTTGCTATGATGTGCTGATGGGAACGAGCAAAAAAAATAACAAACTAACAAAAAAAACGCCTAGGCGACGAGGGCTGTGGGGCCCGCAGCGGCGAAAAGGAGGAAAGGGCATCGGTCTGGGGAAACTAAATACCCGTATCACCGCTCTCGGGTCCCCTCCTGGGGGGGGGGTCGTTCTGGCCGGGGCTCCGATGCGAATCTGGCCGCAGCGGCGAGGGCCAGGAAGCCCGCAGAGACAAAAGACTAGAGAAGCGAGGGCCCGCAAAGCCCGCAGTGCTCGCGGGGCCCGCCATGCCCGCAGGGGCGAACAAAACACACAGACGATGGCCGTGGCGACGGGATGCCCGAAGCCCGCAGGGGCGAACGAGGAGAGAAGCGAGGCCCCGCCAAGCCAGCAACGCCCGCAAGGCCCGCAACGGCAAACCATTGCCCGACGCGGAGGTCCCTATGTGTGCATCTCATGCTCCTGTCACGTCTCGCTGAGGGGCCTGTCTGTGAGCATCTGGGTGTGAGGGCGAGTCCGCGCAGACGACGGGCACGACAGTGACCACGGCGACACGCGACGGCTTCAGTGACGTCCTCCTGCTTTTTGGACATCTCGCAGAAAGGATGAAGGGAACACAAGTAGAAGATCGAGGGGGTATCTCTTGTCGTTCTTACTGCGGCGAATCGGGCAATATTGCATGGCGTTGCTACGCCCGCTGTCTGGCGTGCTACTCGCGGCGCTTGTTTGCAATGTGCGCGCCCAAGTGCCACGCATGCTATATCGCGGTAGCCACCTGTATCTGAGCTGTGGTGTGCGTGAATATGAACGTAAAAGATCTGAATGTGAGTGAGTCTGAGCGTTGAGTACATCCAGGCACGATTGACCCTGAGTGCGAGTGAGTCTGAATATGCGAAGTCGGAGTGGAAGCGCGTCTGAGTCTGAGCGAGTCTGAGTGCAAGCGAGTCTGATTACGAGTGTGTCAGAGTGTGAACGAGTCTGGGCGTGAGTGAGTCTGAGTAGGAGTGAGTCTGGATACGATCGAGTTGGAGTATGAGTGAGCCTGAGAGTGGGTGAGTCTGAGTTTGAATGAGTATGAGTGAGTGCTAGTCTGGGTGTGAGTGAGCTTGAGTTTGAGTGAGTGTGAATCTGAGTGAGTCTAGGTATGAGTGAGTCTGAACATGAGTGACTCTCTGCATGGGTGAATATGAATATGCTGAGTGGGTCTGGGCGGGGAAGTGACCATCAGTAAACATGAGTGTAAATGCGTGCGTCGGAGTGAGGAAGAGGAGGAAGAGGAGAAGGTGAGTGAGTGAGTGAGTGAGTGAGTGAGTGAGTAAGGAACACACAGACATCCATTGAGAAGCCTGGGAGGCAGAAACAGGGAAGCCGCCTGAGACATCCCCACGATCTTGGCGTGAATCCTCGAGCGTCCTCGCCCCTGGCGGCTCCCCCTCGGGAGTGCTGAAAACAGTGCCTCGCATGAGACATCCTCACATATCTGCTCCGACAGCAAAGCATAGTGGGCACCCAAGTCGGCAAACCGCCTGAGACATCTCCACAATCTGGGCGCGAATCCTGGAGTGTCCCCACCCCTGGCAGCTCCCCCTTGGGGTGCCGAAGTGCCACGACTGCTTTATCGCGGTGAGTCTGAGTGGGCCTGAGTATGAATGACCATGAGCATGACTGAATACAGTTGCGAGTGAATCTGAGTGAGTCGGAGTGTGAGTGAGTGAGTTTCAGTACGCGTGTACGAATGAGTCTGCGTGTGAGTGAGTCTGAGTATGA